TATAATTGGAATTGAGCTGATTTTTGTGTCTGATATATAAAGTAAGTCTCTTTGTGTTATAGGAAGTCTGTGTGTGGGTGTGTGTGTGTGTGTGTATGTATATATGGTGATGGTAGAAACTGAGCTAACATTTATAGTCTTGGTTAGAGACCACTAGGGATTAATTGTTACTTGGAAAGAGTAGCCTGAGACTTGCCAAAAAAGCCAACAATATGCTGGATGGTCTTAAGAAAAGAACTTTTTAGATTAAAAAAAAATCTTTACTTTTAAGGTATTAGAATTTTGCTTGTTATTTTCCAGCTAAGATCTCATGTTACTAAAGAGAGGTAACCCAGTTATCTGGGCCATGGTAGGCGGTGATGGGGTTGCACCAGTATGAAACTCTTCTTTTTCTTTTTTGGCTAGGCCCGGTCTTAGTTATGGTACATGGGAAATTTGAGCTTTGTTCCAGCATGCGATTTTTAGTTGCAGCATGCAAACTCTTAATTGTGGCATGTAGGATCTAGTTCCCTGACCAGGGATGGAACCCAGGCCCCCTGCATTGGGAGCTCAGAGTCTTAGCCAACTAGACCACCAGGGAAGTCCCAAAGTTTTCTACTTTCCATTGTATGAAAAGACAGTGATGTGAGTAAATTATACTAAACAGTGAAAAGTATGGTTAGATTTGCTGAATGAATCTTAGTTTTCCAGAAATAGGGGGCCTGAGAAAGGTGAATATAGTCACCTATCTAATGGGCATAGCTACTTAGTACCTGTCAGAGAACCAGGAAGTAGGAAGGAAAATGGTGTAACTCTGAGTAACTAAAAGGTGCATATACTCAAGGCACATATAAACTCATTCACATTACTTGTGGGAGAGGATCCTGTTCAGGCTATATTTTCTCTTCCTTTAGATACTATTCTAGTACAGTTAGCTGACTTACCTGCTCAAGAAGATTATAGATGACATAATAAGAGATGAGTGAGAGAGAAGGGAGTAAGAATTTATGTTAAGACTGTAAGAGAGAAGGCAGAAAATTATAAAATATGGACACAAGAACTTAACACAGCATTCTGAGCTATTAAATGTAATAGAAAACAACTGTTAATACCATAGCAGCCCTGGGAATTTATTGTGTAGAATAAAAATTGTTCTTAATGGTTATCAATGAGGAGAATTAAGAAAAGTTTAAATAGTATTTAATATTATTTTTTAAAAAGACATGGAAAGAATTATGATGCAGTTTAAAATTTTAGGAAAAAATGCTTATTATGAAGAAAAGTTTTGATGCTTAAAGTAAAAATGATCATTAACTTTACAACATGAACAATAAAAACTTAATTTGAATTCTTCATTCTCCAAAAATGCCAAATAAATTAAGCTGTTCTAGACTTTCAGATATTAATGGTTTTTAATTGTTGATGTTGAGCTTTTCTAAACTATATTTCACATAGAAAATAAGAATTATTTTTGTTATTCCAAAACCTATATAAAAATTTTTGTGGTTTCTAAAATACTGGCTCAGATAAATTCACAAGTGGAAAATTTGCAGTACTTTCTAAGAAAACTCAGGTATTAGTGGGGAGGGCAAAGGTGGCAGACATTCATATTCTTATCAGAGAAGCATGTATGTAAAATGATAGGGCCTTTTTAATGAGCCACAAGGCTTTTGTTTTCAGAATAACTAGTATTGAGATTGTCTTCAAATAACTAAACAAAGCTGTGTTACTAGTATTAATTTTTTGTAAGTACAAAAATTTTTTGAAAGAGATTCCCTGGTGGTCCAGTGGGTAGGACTTAGTACTTTCCCTGCAGTGGCCTGGGTTTAATCACTGGAGGAAATTATGATCTCTAACTGTGCGGCTTGGCGCTTTCAAAATATTTTTTGTCTAAAGATATTAAGAAATCTGTCTCATGAAATCTAATTTTTAAGATATCCCTAGTTTTTAAAGAAGTGGGATTCCTTTATGGAAAAAAATTATTTGAAAGAAAGACATTCCTGCATCATCCTCATTTTGCTAATTTGAACATTTTACCTGTATGTTGCTTTCTTACATGGCTGCCTATTATTGCTGTTAGCTAGAAGTAGGATTTTACAGAGCATATTCCATAACAAAGCAGATGTTTTGAAATATTTCGATAGCCATGCCATCGGTATAGTTTCAAAATGCTACTATAATCATTCACCTAAGGCTAAAAGGAGTCAAAAAACGTTTCTTGATTGAAGTATATTACTACCCTTAAACTTTTGTGGGATAACCATTTAAAATTTATTGTAATTAATGATTTAGAGTAATTAAATGGCAGATTAGAAGTTTAAAATGATTGAAATATTTGTGGTAATGAGTGTGGAGAACATTCTTAGTGGTGAAATTGAAGGTTATAAATAGTCTTTATTTGAAATGATTACTTGTAAATATTATATTTTTAATGAGTAGAAATTAATTTAGTGCTTAAACCCTTGTATATTTTGCAATTTTGTTTATATATATATATATATATTTTTTTTTTTTTTTTAAATAGTGTTTGCCAGCTCTGAGCCGGTGCCAGGATTCCAAGGGGATACCCTGCAACTTGCATTTATTGACCTCAGACAAGTAAGATGTAATAATGTACTTTTCATTTATTGCTTTCTACCTCTAGCCTTTCTCTTTTCTTTTTTTTAATGCTACAGGAATGCTTGTTTTTGCCTCAAAACAACTTTTCTTTAGAGAAGTGCTTCTTTGATAACTAGGTATTTGGTCCTTCTCTCTGAACCTGTATCCATTCAGTGTCTCAACCTCATAGGGCATTCTTGTTGGTGAATATTTAATTTAGTTGTTATTAGCAAAGAACATGACTAAATACTAACTTTATACTTTGGTTTATTGATACTTTAAGTTCTCAATGATTTCATGGTCATATATGAAAATTTGGTAGTATAACATTAGTGTTAGGACCCAAGTTAAGTATAAATTATTATAACCTAAAAAGGAATCCCTTGATTAAAATGTTGTCAGTGTAAAGAATGCTATTTTTATAGTTTTTCTGTGTGCCTCCATAAAGAAGGATAAAACTAAATTTTGAAGGTAATTAATTGTGGTGGTGGTGGTGACATTTACATAAATCTTTTGCAATCATATAACTCTAAATATAATGACAAATATGATTTTTAAATCTCTTCTATTCATTTTACTACTCTTTAACTTCTCTACTATATTGTCATTTTCTTAATTTTCTCCATATTACCTTGTCCCATCTCCCTCATAATTTTTCTTCTTATGCTCTTCGTCTTCTTTCCCCTCCTTTTTCTTTCTTAATCCCAGGATTACGGTGTTTAATCAAGCTGAGATTGCAAGAGTGTAGAGGAGGGGTAAATCCAAGTAAGAGGGCTCAGGAGTGTTAGGATTGACAACAGGAGTGACTGCTGCCTTTGGCAAGAAGAATCAGATGAAGATAGAATTAAATATCAGTCTATTAATGCTCCCATTCTCTTTGAGGGGTGGAGATAACTGGAAATGAGGTTCCACCATTGGTATGAATAAACTCTTCCAAGTGATGTTAAAGAGCTCTGATTTCAATAAATGTTTGAACATAGAGCTGATTTTGCTCATTCCAAGCCAATGTTCAATAAGTATTTATGAACTACTAGGTACTAATTATTTGGAGAGGGGAGATGTGGTTAAAATCCACACAAAAGTAATATTAGAGATGGTTCCATCCTTATGGAGCTTAACACTCCTTTAGAGAATCACAGTCTCCACAAACTGGCTAGGAATACTTATATGACAGTGAGTCGTGTGGAAATAGCTCGTATTTCAAGTCAGGTTTAGAAGGAAATTAGAAAAGCCATTCCTGTTGCCCAATTATAATCTGTAAATTACTGAACAAATAAAATATAATCATTTATTTCTGTTTACAGTCAGCACTCGTGTATTATGCCAAACAAGGAATACTGTTATGAGTGACCTAGATCTATAGATGGTTAGCTACCTAGATCTATAGATGGTTTTAGCTTTACTAAGTTGGGGAAGATAGTAGAAAATGAATAAAGTAGATTCTGAACTTCCATTTCAGTTTACCAGAAGATATTCTTGCTATTGATGGTAGATCTATTTTCTTCACAAGTAGTTATCTTTGTTGCTGTCCTCCTGCTCCTAGTAAGATTATATGGAAAACTGAGTCCTGTGATATTTATTGTTTACCATTTTTTCAGTTTTATATAAATTTTATGCTGTTCTAGTTTATGATCTCATGTAGGATTGCAGATAGGATCACATAATTTTTAAAAAAATTTTCTTGGAGTATAGTTGACTTACAATGTTGTGTGAGTTTCAGGTGTACAGCACATTGTTTCAGTAATACACGTGCATATATTCATTCTTTTTCAGATTCTTTTCTGATATAGGTTATCACAGAATTTTGAGTAGAGTTCCCTATGCGGTACTACTATGGGGCTTCCTGGGTGGCTCAGACGGTAAACAAACCATCTGCAAAACTGGAGACCTGGGTTTGATCCCTGGTTTGGGAAGATCCCCTGGAGGAGGGTATGGCAACCCACTCCAGTATTCTTACCTGGAAAATCTCTGACAGAGGAGCCTGGCGATGGGGTTGCAAAGAGTCAGACACGATTGAGTGACTAAGCACAGCACACAGCATACTACTATACTACTATATAGTAGTGTGAGTGTGTTAATCCCAAACTCCTGATTTATCCATCTTCTCCACACTACCCCTTGGGTAACCATAATTTTGTTTTCAATCTCTGTAACTCTGTTTTTGTTTTGTAAGTAAGTTCATTTGTGTCACTTTTTAAAATTAGATTCTACATATGAGTGATTTCACATGGTATTTGTCTTTTTCTGTCTGACGTACTTAGTGTGGTAAGACCATCCATCCCTAGGTCCATCCATGTTGCTGTAGGATCACATAATTTTATAATGCTTTTGGCAAAGATTCTGTTCCTTGATTTGTCCAGACAGGTGGTTGGTTCATAGCAGATTAAAACTGATCCTAGGTACTTTCTTCCTTCAAACATTCATCATTTGGCAGCAAAAAAATTCTCTTTATAAGCATATAGCCCACTAGGGAATTATTATGAAAGCATAGTTATAAATATTAATAAACATTTCAAGTCTTTTTGGTTGATTTACTTATCAGGTATGTGCACTTGAAGGCGTTAAGTCCAGATTGACATTTCCTCATCAAGGTAATTTCTTGAAGAAATTAAGTGAATAAAAAAGTCAGTTCTAAAACACTTAGAATTCTGACATTAGAATTCTAAAACATTTAGAATTACGACAAGTACATAGAACTGTTAAAAGATTAATATAGAAATAACCAGTTAATATAAAACACAATTTTAAAGTATGGTAGTTAGTATGCAGTGAAAGTGAGTAGTGGATAGAAAATTTTGATGAGCCAGCTTTTTATGGATTAATTTTTCTAGTCTTAAAAGAGGTTTAAAATTATTTTCCCTGATTATTAATGTTAACATTTAATCATACTTTTTTCTTGTACTTATCTATTCTAAAACAAAATGCAGTTAATTCTTTAAGTACTGGACCATGGTGATATAACATGAATTTTATGATTTCAGAGGCATGATTTAATAACAACTTGATAATGATAGTTATTTTTCACCTATATTTGTTTTTCAGATTAACTTACAAATAGTTTAGTGGTAAAATTCTAAGTATGGAAATTGGCCAAAAATAAAATTAATTTTGAAAACTTTAATCTCCTATAAAGTGATATAATTTTTTTATCAGTGTCAGTGATTATTTAAATAAGGATGCCTTAAAGTTTCAGTAGTGTTATGTTGCTGCCTTCATAAAGATATTTCATAGCAGCATATTATTTTAACACTTTTATATAAAGTAGTCTATCACCAAACATAGAGAGGATGCTAACACTTTTATTTACATTTCAGTTGAATTTCTGCACTTTTCCTTCTTTTTTTCGTGGCTTGTGATCCGTTTCTGTCTTAATAGGGCAGCTGACAGTTCTTTTCAAGTGTACTTAGAAAGGCAAAAGAGCCCTTTTCATAGCACTTATAAGAGGTCATGCTTCTGTCTTTCAGTTTGAATTTGATACTGCTTCATGAATTGCTGGGTATGAAAGATTAGGAAGTAGGTCCAGTGGTCAAATTTTACCTGCCCACCCGGACTTTGCCCTGAGGTCAAACTCCTGATACTTGCTGTTCTGAATAGAGGAGTTGATGACAAGTATGAGCTGATACAAGAGGAAAGTTAGAACCATATCAAAGCTGAAGGCAAGAGAATTGGGACTCAATGAGAGACTGTAGCTAAAAGATGGATCATCAGAATTGCCTTCTTCTAAAGAAAAGGAAATAGCTGACCTGTGAGTGGAAACGACTTTATCATCCTGCCAATCACATGCTTGCTAATGGAAGCCAGTAATCTCAACAACATTTTAAGACCTACTGACCCAGTAGACAGTGTGGAGGATTAGCAGTACTGGTACTGTCTTATGTGAGTATCCTTCCTCACTCAATTTTAAATGTGCTGTTTGAACATGATTTGTCTGTGTATACTTTTTTAGTATACACAGTATACTAAAAGTAAAGCCTACCATCCTTCTACCCCCAGTTCTGAAATGAAGTCACTAAATGATGACAGACTTTGATACACTTGTGTGTATCTGTTTTCTTTTACAAAGACCATGTCTTTTGTTAAATATAATCTTTAAAATGGATTACAAAAGAATTTCAAAATATGTAAAATGAAAACCTTAAAAATTTTAAGTATTTTTATTATAAGATTTTTTATATGATATATAGTATTCAGTAATACATTTTAAAATAACTCATTCTTAATACATAGCAAAATTTCACTAAATGTCACTGAAAAAAGAGGTGTCCCATATAACTGAATTTCCCAGGAAACTAAAGATTAGTGTTTAATCACTAAAACTTTTAAAATGTAGCCAAGTTAGTGGGAAACTTTAAAAATATCTCTCTCACCTTCATAGCTTCTTATTGAGCGTAATTCTCACAGTAGACTGAGCATTCATGGCTCACTAATAATCCTAATACCAAATCCTCTTTACTTGGTCCTATTTCACTTTGTGATAAATTAGACTGGCAAGATATTATTGCTGCATCTGACAATATCTTGATAATCCTTCAGATAATAGGGAGAGGTTGAGGTAGGTTAGATGATAATGCAGTTAGATAGGTTTGAAGCTAATAAAACAATCTCTTCCCCAGAGAATGTTGGCTAATGTATCATTATCACCCTCAATCAATATGTCCTGAAGTGTCTTTCCAGGGACACTGATTTCTCAAGATGAGAAAAGACTTCTTTAAAAAAGATTCTAAGTCAGCTAAGTTTAGGAAACACTTTATACTCAAATCCCCTCTTAAAAATTTACCACATGCATTAGAATTGTAAGGACTGAGAAATGGTTTGGTAACCCAACATTACCTAAACTCCTCACAGAATACATCCCTTGCTAATTTGGAGTTGTATTACATGAACATACTTTGGGAAATGCTGCCTTAAGTCAAGATTCTGGCAACACCTTCTTGATGTCTGTCTTTGACAGTTTGGGATGAGCATATTTTTTAAATGATGACTTGGATAAATACATAGAA